GAACATCATCATCATCATCATCATCCTGCAAACTTGACGGCATGTGCTCGAGCAAGCTGCGCCGACCCAAGCGGTCTCGGCCGTACACAAGCGCCTTGGTAGCTTCGTGAAAGAAGCAGAGCGCGAAGGGTCCTTCCAATGGCGCCAGAGCCTCGACAACGTGAGCGGCAACGACCGCCGGGTCCATGTCCGCGCGCGTCGCTTCACAGAGGACCTGGGCGACAACAGCCGTGTCGCTAGCACACATCGAGACGGAGAGGCCACCAAACACTTCGCCGTTCCATAGCAGCACGCTGCCGCTGTCGTCCAGAACGGGCTGCGTCGCGATGGTAGCACCGCGTAAATGCAGCACCGCGGCCGAGAGCACCACAGCGGCGCCGTTTTCGGACCGCTCGACCGAGCCAAAGTGGTCGGGGCCGCGTCGAGCAATGGCAGCCTCCACGTCCTGTCGGAGCTGGACACAGGTGGGCGAGGCGACCGCCGCCGCCGACCCGAGCAAGGCGGCAATCCCGCACATGGCAGCACCACCACGATACGTTGAGTGATGTGATTGGCTGCTCTATTTTATGTGGACCAATCCCATCGCCGTATTTGGTATCCTCTAGAAAGGGCAATCTCAACAGCCAAGCCAAGTCATGCGACCACCAAGCCTTGAATCAACGCATTTTTCTCACAGGATTGAGTAGAATCGACCGTGTGGAGTACCGGGTAGCCTTTATTCGCGGAGATTACTAGCGTCGATCTACCTACCGCCAGCGCGCGTCTACAGGGAGCCGTAGTTGACAGTGATGGTTTCTTCGAGCATGCTCGCCTCGCCGCTCGCTTCTTCATCCGCCGTGACCTTCCAAAAGCAGAGCAGCAAGCACATCGCGATCGGAATACCGCAGAGCGCACTCTGCCACAGCGTGGACGCGCCGTACTCTTGGTAGATGTAGCCGCCGAGGAAAGCGCCGAGGCCCGACCCAATGCCATTTTGGACGGCGTTGAGAATGCCCATCATGGTGCCATGCGAGTTGGGCGAGTTGCTCTTGACGAACGTCGTGAACGCAGTCCACATCAAGCCAAACGTGAGGCCTTGCAGCGCTTCAAACGGCAAAACCGCCCAGACGTTCGGGACGAAGGCGTAGACGGAGAGGCGCACCGAGTACGCGAGAAGCGAGAGGCCAATCGTCTTGGGAATACCGCACGTTCGCACGATCGCGTCGGCGAAGAAGAAGACGGGAATCTCCGAGCACGTTTGAAGCAACGTCGCGAGGCCCACGATCGCCGAGTTTTTCTCCGAGAGGTTGAAGAGGTACAGCATGAGGAAGCTATTGATCGTGCCAAAGACGATGCCAACGACAAACACGATGAGAAAGAGCAGCCGCACCGACGTCGAATGCAAAATCGGAGCCAAGACCGTCGAGAGCGACGGCGACTGCACCATCGGCGTGCCATGGATGCGGTACTCGACGTGCGGCAATGGCACGAGGATCGCGATCGCGGCAAACGAGAGCGCGAGCTGCGTGCTAAAGATGACGTAGATCCCGGATGTGGCGATGAGGAGGCTCAGGCCGTAGGCGCCGAGGCCGTAGCCGAGCGACCCGAAGAGCCGCTGGCGGCCATAGTCGGATTCGCGCAGCGCGAGCTGGTCGAGCATCGCATTGTTGGGCGAGTTTTGAAAGGCCGCCAGCGCAATCACAATGCAGAGGAACTGAAAGTTGGACACAAACTGGACCGTACAATTGAGAACCGCTCCGGTTGCAATGCAGAGCGTGTGGATGAGCCGCTGGTGCTGGACGACGTCGGCGGCAACGCCCCAGAACGGCGGCCCCACGACGTTGATGTACATGGGGATCGCCTGCAGCACACCGATCTCGACCTTGCTAAAGTGGCCTACATCTTGAAGAAACACCTATCCCAACGTGGACATCCATGAGACGCGGAGGCGGCGGGTGGCGTACCGCGAGGTAGCTCGCTGCCGACGACCCAGCGTAGTAGACAAAGTAGGCCAGCTGGAGGCGCCAGCCCGCCGAGACGCGCGCGGTCGGCGGGATCGAACTCAGGTCCTCAAAGTTGACCTTGCGCTCCATGCGTGAAGGTCGCAATCTTGGAAATGGAATCCTACCGAGCCATGGAAGGCCGCGGCTGATATATCCATATATTGTTTCGATATGGAGATGGAAGCGTGCCATATATTGCACAATGCGATTGTTTGGAGTCCATACACGCTGGCTCGCACTGCGTCGTAAAGTCCGAGTCCAAGTGACGTGGGTGAGAGGACAAACGGCTCGTCTTTGCAAGGGAAACCCGCGAATGGCGGAGTCAAACGTCGCGTCCACCAGCAAGATATGGAAGCCAGCGGTCCATATATAAAACGCTCCGATGATCCGGATAAACGTGGACACGGCTTCAACTTGAAGCGACGACCCCGGCAGGTTGTTCTCTCAGACAACCGGTTGGGCATTGCCATGTCCTGTACCGGTGATATGTTAGTCGTCCATATTTGCCATGTCTAGCGTAAATATGGCTAATGCCCCGGAAGGACGTGTGTCGGGCTTGCACTCCTCGCACGCGAACGCTTCACAGCGCAAGCACCTATGGCTTCCGCCTCGCCGCGTATCTGCATGCAGACCGTTGGCCTCTATGACGCGTGCAATAAGCCACATGGTGCTGCAGTGAGAGGCCGAGGTGGATAGTGCATCGCACCAAGCAACTCCCGTCTAGACTAATGCAGTAATATTTCCACCTGGCTCAATGCCACTAGACTCGTTGGCGAAGCGTACACTGAATGATACCTCATTAGCCAATACACGGACGCACAAAGGAGCTCTGCAGCTCTCCAGAGAGGCTGCTTTTAGCTGTCTCGTGGGGAAAACATCGGACTGTGATTGGCCAGTTGCGAGAGACGTTTCCCCGAACCGTCGCGCCTTTTGGACAAGGCGCCGAAGAGCCGTCGCGCGCTGGGATTGGCGCCGAATATTTGCGTCGGCTTCTGATTGGTACCAAAGTTTTGTTCCCGATCCAAGCCAGAGCATGCACATTGATCTCAGTATTCAACCACCGCACTCGAGCTCACCCTCGCAGTACCACCTTGTTCAACGATGAAGGTTATCCTCCTTGGCTTGGCGGCCGCTTCGGTTGCCACCGACCACGAAGCTGCTCTCCGAAGTCGAAGACGCCGCCTACGGCCAGTACCAGCCTCCGTCGCAGCCCGCGTACAACCGTCAACCCAGCTACAACCAAGCTGGCTACGGCAAGCAGCCTGCGTATGGCTACGACGGCGACTACGAGCAGCCCGACTCGGATGACGGCTATGCCAGTGGCTTCAAGAAGCCCAGTAAAGGCTACGGCAAGCAGCCCAGCACCGGCTACGGCTACGCCGACGACAACGGCGACTACGACCCGACGCCGATTTCGGACGAAGACCGCTTTCACCGCTTCTACGACAACCTCAAGATCTGCAAGGCTGAGAACGCGCTCGAGAGCTGTATCATCTCGTCTGCGTCGCGCGCCGACTGCATGAGTGCGACGCGCATCAAGCAGTGCACGTCGTCATTCATCACGGGTCTCTGCTCTGACTTGGAGTCGACGACGACCAAGGAGTACGACAACGGCTACGTCAAGTGTTCGGCCGACACGTGCACGGACGCGGCGCTGGCCGACTCGCTCCTCGTGTACAACAAGCTGCTCCGCGACGTCAACACGGCGCTGGACGTGACACCGCAGTTTGACCAGTGGTCGTTTACGACGATCAAGCTCGCCCTCGCGAGCACGCGCAACCACGCCGACTGCGTCATCAAGGGGTTCCTCAACTACCTCGATGGGTGCGCGACGTCGTCGGAACTGCCGAAGCGCGACCTCTTGTGCCTCGACGAAGCGCTCAACAACGGCAAGTGCGAGTGGGGCCGCGAGACCGCGGACGGCTGGAACTTGGCGCAGTTCCTCAAGACGTACGGTCAGGTGGCGTTCAACAGCGTCGTGTCGTCGATGCAGCACCGGTTCGGCGTCTCGAACGAGCGTGGCATCGACAAGGCGATCACGGAAGTCCTCGTCAGCGTCATGCAGGAGTCGACGCAGCTCGTCCAGACGGTCAACACCAAGTACGACTTTACAAACAAAGTGACGTCGGTCGACGTGTGCGCGGTGACGCTGCCCGCGTACCAATTGGACGCGGAAGAAGGCACGGACATTAGCACGGTGCTCTTCCACTTTGCCAAGACCGAGCAGGACGCGTTCAACTCGCTCGTGTACGGCGAGACGGTGTATGACAACCGTGCTCCGGACGACACGACCAAGGTCAACTTGTACGACAAGTGCGAGGCGTTCTTTGCGGAGACGAAGAAGGCTTTTGTCGAAGGCAAGGGCAAGGCCTGGACGTGCGTTCCTGGTATCGCGTTCCCGACGCGTATCAACGACGACGGTGACGTCGAGTGCATGTCGACGGACGGCAAGAACTGCCTATCGACAGGCGAGGACTGCGAGGCCATGATCACTGCCACGGACGACGCCAGCTTGAACCCGTTGACGTGCGGCGCCGACCACGACGCCAAGTGGGGCTCTACGGGGTACCTTGACACGACCCACTGGTGCAACCTAGGCCGCCGTGAGCTCGGCAACCAAGGCGACAAGTGCTTTACGTACAGCGGGTACTCGATCTTCTTCCTCGAGTCGGGCGAGACGCAAGACCTGACGCTTGAAGCGATCACGGACGCCCCCGAGACGTGCCGCACTGCGTCGTGGCAGGAACCAAAGTCGTGCAGCTCGCATTTGACGCAGTGGCAGATGCACGTCGGCTGCTGCAAGAGCTACGCGACCGTCCTCCAGGAGCTCCAAGACACGTGGGCCGCCAAGTACGAGAGCCGGTACGAGACCGACTACCACTACCGCGGGTACAAGCCGACCAAGAACGCGCCGACAGACAAGCACTACCGCACGCTCCTGGAGGAAGACAACCTTATGGAAGAAGGCGGGTACAGCAAGGCGCCGGCCAAGCCGACCGTGGTCTCGCCCAAGTACGACTGCAAGAACGCTGCTTATGAAACCACGATTTTGTCGCGCGCCGTCGAAGTGACCCAAGACAACTACTTTGGGCAGCTCACCGTGCGCACGGGCGAAGTCGAGACGACGACGACGAATGACATTGAGAACGTCAACAAGGCGCTCAACGAAGAGCTCGAGGAGTGGTTCCACCGCTGCACCAAGCTGCACGACGACTACGGCCACGAGGTCTCCAAGTGGTGCCTCTCGGTCCATGAGTTCTGGTACCCCAAGTGCACGGCCACACCCACGGACACGTCGGTCACGTGCCCGAGTGCGATCCAGGCCTGGTACGCGGCCCACCCCGACGCGATGGCCCTCCCACAGCCAGCAACCACGTACGCCTCGGCGCATGACGCGACGACACCTGTCTACGAAAACTACGACACTGTCTACTCCAACCACCGCCAGCACACGTGCTACATGGCGGCGAGTCCGGCGTACGTCGACGTGTGCGACTCGCTCCACGTCAGCTGGGACATTGCGACCGTCGTGCCGATCGTGAGCACCAAGTGCTTTCCGCAGTCGTGCGTCCTCGCGCAGCTGTCGCAGTGCATGGACATCCCCGAGCCGACGTACATGGCGATCGGGTACGACTATGTCGCCGAGCCGACGGACGGCTACAACGGGTACCGCCCGTCGAGCTACCAGCGCCCGTCCAGCTACGCCACGTACAACCAGTACTCGCGCGCCACCTTGGGCATGGAAGGCCCGTCGCTGACGGTGCTTATGGCTGTGGGCTTTGTCGCGGGTGTCGTCGTCGTTGCGGTCGCGCAGGTTGTGCTCAAGGCCCGCAACGCGCGCGACAATGGTAAAGGGTATCGCCTCGGCTAAGCTCGGTCGTAGCACCTCTTTCAGTAACTCTATCATGAATGGTCAATTTGTTAATGCTTCGCGATTTGTGCCTCGCTGTTGGATGACGTTGTTGCAATGACTACGCATCACTGCATACCGCTTTGTTAACCCCAGCCTGGGTACGGCAAAGCCATCGCGTATGGCGAACGCGAAACTTGGTATGTGTGCGAATCAATTCGGTCGATTGAGGAAATGACACCATTGACACAGCCGTGATGAAATCTACGAGATCTGCCACCAGCGATACACGAGATAGCACGCTGTTCAACGCCGTAGGGCTGGCAATGCTGTGTTCCAACGAGGCGTGGTAGGCTTGATCGCCGTACAAGTACGCCATGCCATTCTGTGGCTGTAGCTGTCCGACTGCCTCTTCTGGTGTAGTCTTTTGAAGCGTAAATACGAAGTGCATTTCGGAAAACGAACGCTACGGGTCGAGGACAAGGATGCACGATGCACTGGTGTCCTTGAGCGACTCGGAATTTGTGGTCGGTAGCGGGGCCACCAGTACGTTGCGCATCGACGGCTTGGCTTCCGGCAGTGCGCGCAGGAGGTCGGCGCCGTTGCTGTCGATGATGCGATATGTGCTTGCGCGCTTGGCGACAACGAAGGCACCGGCCGCCGACATGGCAAAGAGATGCCAGAGCGAGTGAAGCTACGCATGAGAAGATTCGTACCAACAAGATCGCATGGTTCACGTACCAGCCAGTAGGACGGAGACGAGTTGAAGAACCAGCAGAGCAACGCTCCGAGCCAGAGCATCAATCCGAGGCCGACCATTCTCAGGTTAAAGTTGTCGCTGTTGAAGACAAAGAGCTTGCCGATGCTATGCGACATGTCAGCTCCACCCACGTTTGCTCTCTTGTCGTACGTGTAGAACGAAACGCGCCAGCGCGTTCGGTAGGCTGCAATCACAAACTGCAGACATCGGGATCAGCCATGGATTTCATGACGCTGCAAAAGAGTTGTACGTACGTAGCCTGTCCACGCGATGAGGAGCTGGCCAGCACCAAGGCAACCAACAAGCACAAGGTTGATGGGCGCTGTGGGGTTGATGGCGAGAAGAACGATGAGCATGACACCACCGACCACTTGCGCAATGGCCTAGACCATCAGCGTTGTCCTTGAGCTTTAAAATAGGATTCTGCATCGAAACAACCGACCTTGGCGCGGGGACTCACGCCTGAGAGGTGAAACACACAGAGCAGAATGCTATTGAACGAGAGGCCAAAGTCGAGGCTCTACTTGCACGTGTATGCAACGGCTCCAGATCTGCAAGCGTACCAGGAGAGCTGAAAACGGCAGCGCGCAAAACCAGTTCAGGTCGCACGCGTGGTACAAACTGGACGCGACCCCGAGTGCTCCGAATAGCACCGCTTCCACTACATAGATGCTCAGACACGCTACATTTTCATGCGCAGTGTACCGTAAAGATGGCGCCGAATGGCAGCGACGGTCGCCGGGACGATGGCCACGTTGGTGATGACGAGGAACCAGCCGTGCCACTGCTCTTCAACAACGGTAACTGTATCGCAGAACGGTCCTGCATAACCGTACGCGCAGACACAGCGAGAATACACGAGGCCTTGGTACGTCGTCTTGGTGACGCAGTAGCCAGAGTCTCCGCACATGTCGTCGCTGCAGCCTTGGGCTTGGAGCACAAGTCCTTGCGTCCACGGTCTAGATATTGATGGATACCATGGGCAAATCAATCAGGAACATACGTCGAGTGTGTGGTTTGAACCACAATGTACCACGTGCCGACGGGGGGAAGCGCAGGGGGGGCCATGAGAGCGTGACGGAGCCGTTTCGATGGACGGCCGCGACCTCGTCTTGCACGAATTTGCTCTCACTCGTGAGCGCACTGCCGACACTCGATGACACGCCACGTGTCACACTTGCCTGGGCACCGTCCAAGCGATATGCATAGCGCGCCTCGGACGGATACTCGTCGACCCCGACGAGCATGACGAGCGATGCGATGGGAAAGGTTGCCGGTACAATCACGTGAAAAAGGAGGTTGGTTCCCGCCATATCGGGCGCGAGTCGCATGGTGTAGCCCTAAGCACACACTGCAGTCGAGAGTCGTTCGTTGGTGCGAAGGCGCGCAAACCAAGCCGTAGGTCGACGATGTGACGGGCACCGAAACCACGGGGTTGCTTGCCATGTACCATCGGTCGACAACACTTAGGGACCGCGTTGGGTTGACAATGATTTCGTCGAGCTGGACCCAGTCGGTGTTGCAGTCGTTCACGGTGGTCAAGGAAGCAGTGCAACCCTAATCCACGAAATCATATACCGGTTCTTGTTGGTCGCGCGCATATGGAGAGAGAATACCTGGACGGTATACGTGACGTTAAACTTGACACCGCGAGCGTTGGAACAAAGCGTCATGTCGGGGGTGTCGAGGTAGAGCAAGAGGTACCATACCCTATAACACTCGGATGACATGTCCATTTCAAGCACCGTCCGACCCTTCGGGGGGTGACAGAACATTCATGCGGTAGCTGCGGCGTCCAAGGGCACCTTGACCGCTCAGGTACGCTGTTGTTGAAGCATCCAGCGGGTTGGCGCGGTCGTGGAAGAGCGCGTAAAAGAACGATTGGGGTGTTCCCGGAGCCTTGGAGAGAGAAATCTAGGCATTGGCTCGACACCATCTGTTGTTCGTCATCGGACGTACGTCAATGGTGAAGGATGCCTCGGGCGTAAGCGCGAGCGCATACAACGCGATAAACTGGTTTGGGTCAAAGCACCCGCTCGCACTTGGCAAGGTGGTGCTTGCAACTTGGGCGGCGTTGACGACGGCGCTGGTTTCTTCTGGTGCAAAGGCCACGAGGGGCCACGCAAAGTAGGCGCACTCGGAGCCTAGAGTATGGCACACCGTGCAATTTGCATGTAAACTCGGATGCGCGCACCAAGGTGGGTCGTGTCGAGGCACCCTTGGAATTGCAGAACGAGGTGGTACCATACATTCGTGGTCGGGCCCATGCCAAAGTCCATGATCGAGCTCTCGAGGGCGCCCCCCCAGACACCAATAAAGTACCGACCGAGCTACGAACGACAACATAGATCGAAAGCCGGCTGCACACACACAAGTGGACGTACGCGGAGGTCTGGAATGGTCTGCGCAAGCCAGTACGACTCGGACGTGCCGTTGAAGCGAACGTCATAATCGGTCGTTGTCGGGAGACTGCCGTGCTTGAGCAAGAGCACGGGGGGCACGCGGCCGTGGAGGTCGCTGCGCGCAAACGTCAGCACGACCTGCGCCGTGCCGGGGCGTACTGACCGAGGCACACCATAAGTATTCCGTGGTGATGGTACAAGCACGTACCGTCAAAGGACGCGTACTCGATGCCATCGGTGCGCACCTTGCCGTTCTATCCAGCGCACATGTTGTTGAACCAGAGTTGCTAGAGCGCCGTACGACAAACTCGTTGGCTTGGGTCGTTGCATTGTTCTTCTGTGCGAGCGTGGCTACGACCAGTGCCAGCACGAGTCGCCAGCACGTGGCCGACGCGATGCAGCGCAGAAAGGACATGCAACACAAAGTGAAACCGCCCGGTTTCAAAACTTGGCGCCGGCATATCCAGCCAAATCAGTAGGAGGCGAGCTACCGTTGGCAGCCACTCCACATGCCGTCGACAAGAAGAGATGCTTTCGTGTAGAACTAGCATGGGTTGTTGGCCCAGATTGTGCACTTCTCTTGGAGCTCACACGTCGATGAGGTCGCTGCTCGCAGCAAGGTGGCCCGAGATCATATACACCGTAGCGTTCATTGAGCGGTAGAGCGGCGTAAAAACTCGTGCGGTGAACGGAAACAAATGTGCGTTGAAAGCATAGAAATGTGCGGCGGTCGATGTGCCAGAGTGTGTACTTTTGGACTGACGCCTCCTGTTGTCAATACAGCCCTCTCAATATTCTGCGCTGGATCTGTGAGGCTTCTTGAGCAACATCGGAACCTCAATCCTCATTCTGGGCAAGACCATGCTGGTCGAGTTGATGACTCTCGTGACGGCGTCAAGTGGTCCGCTGGATTTGTGTGGTGGCGGCGCCAAACGCGAATCGGAACGAGGCATCCAAGACGTGGGCGGAGACAGCGACGCCATCCTCGGTTTACTTGACCTCTAAGAGACTTTGCAGTAGCACTGCGCAAGGCTCAACCCAGGCGAGAATACAACACGAGCTTAGCAGCGCAAAAGCATGCAAGGCAGGTGGAGAGGGGGCGTCAAATGTGTGAGAATACACTCCTGAATTCTTGGTGATCATCGTTCAAGATACCTGAGACGAATGCGGCGGCTCTCAATATCTATCGTGACATCGGTCGTTGTCTAGGCTGTCTAATCAGCGCCATACCTGTCCTTCAGAACACAACTCGATTAGAGACGCCAACAGAAACTTACGTGGTTTGCAATCATACAGTGTGCATTGACATTTAGGGTTATACTCTCGATAGCTCTCTATATAGGATTTGTCTATACGAGTTTGTACGTCGCCTCGGCCGCCTTCGGCTTGCGAAGAACAACCTGCGCGACGACAACGACGACAACACCTGCGACAAAGCCGAAGGTGGCCAAGTACGTCGAGCTTGTCGACGCACTCGCCATGAGCGCGCGCGAGTACTGGTTGTACGTGGCGTAGCTGGACGGGCGCTGGTAGCTCGACGGGCGGTACCCGTTGTAGCCGTCCGTCGGCTCCGCGACATAGTCGTACCCGATCGCCATGTACGTCGGCTCGGGGATGTCCATGCACTGCGAGAGCTGCGCGAGGACGCACGACTGCGGAAAGCACTTGGTGCTCACGATCGGCACGACGGTCGCAATGTCCCAGCTGACGTGGAGCGAGTCGCAGACGTCGACGTACGCCGGACTCGCCGCCATGTAGCACGTGTGCTGGCGGTGGTTGGAGAACACGGTGTCGTAGTTTTCGTAGACAGGTGTCGTCGCGTCATGCGCCGAGGCGTACGTGGTTGCTGGCTGTGGGGAGGGGCCATC